ACAGCAAAAGAGGCAGCATTAAGTCCAGGAGAACCAGTGAAAATTTTTAACTTAAATGAAGCATCAGATAAAGAGGAAGAAGAAAAGCCAGTATTCAGTGAAAAAGAACTAAAGCTGATAAAAGAGCTACATGTGCACCAGGGGCAACAAGGGGAGTGGTTGACGCCTGATGGGAGTAGGTTTTTGAACAAATCATTAGCCAGGAGAGTATTAGCAGAAATACATGAGCTAACTCACTGGGGAGTCCAGGGACTTCATGTACACTTTCTAAGGGAAAATCTGTGCATTGGGGTATATGAGTTAGCAAAATCAATAACCCAGGGGGGCTCAATCTGCCAAAAAGTGAACCAAAAAGTAATGAGGAAAACCACACCGGGGGGAAGGGAATTGGTATTAAGGCCATTTCAAAATATTCAAGTTGACTTCACCAAAATGCCACCCATCCAGAACTACAGGCACATACTTGTAATAATAGACCATCTTATCCATTGGGTGGAGGCCTTTCCCACTAGAAAGGAAACCACAGAGATCGTTGTAAAAATTTTATTAGAGCAAATCATTCCCTGATACGGGTTGGTTAACAACATTGATTCTGATAGAGGCCCCCACTTTGAGGCCCAAATTCTACACAAAGTAGTCGAAGCTTTAGGAATAAAGTGGAGATTACATACCCCATGGCACCCACAAAGCTCAGGGAAAGTAGAGAGAATGAACAAAACTCTTAAAAATATGCTTACCAAGCTTATTGCTGAAACTCAAATGAACTAGCTTAAATGCTTGCCCCTTGCCCTCCTGCGAATCCGAACCCAACCCAGGTCAGATATAGGAGCCTCCCCTTATGAAATGCTGTTTGGGTTACCATTTCTGATAACTCCCTATAGCACAGGGAATTATTTGGAAGGGGAAGACGTAACCCAGAGGTACCTGAAAACTATTGGGAAAACACTGGAAGATTTAAGAAAGAGAGGGTACCTGCCTCAGACTTCCCCCTTAGTCTCCAACACACATCAGATTAAGCCTGGGGATTGGGTTTTAATAAAGTCATGGAACAACATCCCGCTAACTCCTAAATTTGAAGGTCCCTTTCAGGTGCTACTTACATCACACACTTCAGTTCGGACTCAAGAAAAAGGCTGGATGTACATTTCCAGAGTAAAAGGACCGGTACCCTCTCCAAGTAATGAACCAGATCTCGTAAAAACACCAACAAACTCACCCAAGTGGATTGTTATACCAAATTCAAACAACCTTAAAGTAACTTTTAAAAAGGAAGGGAAGAAAGACTGATAAAGACTGGTGGTAGAACCTAACAAAGACTGAAATCCTGACTTTTTAAGATTTATAACAGTTATAATTACTGTTAGTCATGTTTAAACTTTGTTAAATTTCCTTTATTAATCCCAGAACTTGTATGTGTGACTTTACAGAATTTCTTGTATAAGTGTGTTTAAGAATTATAATGGTTATAGTTACTGTTATTCAAGTTTAAAGTTTGTTAAGTTTGGCAGAAGTGTGATCTGACCAAATATCTCCCACAGAGCATTTCCCAAGGAAGAATCAAATTAGTAGGGAAAGGGGAGGAAGCAAACCTGGTCATATTTCCAAGGGAATAAGAACTCCCCAACTCAAGAGGCAAGACCGGGTGAGATCGAGAAATGGTTCACACCAGACTCTTGAGGGGACTAATAATAGTCCTCCTGGTGATGAGGAACACCATAGAGAGTGGAGAGAATGCATGCTCTAAGTGTTACCATCCTCTCTATGATGGGGAGAACCTTGGCTCACTAATCCGGGTGCACACTAACATAAATCCCAAATGCTTCAACCACTCCCAGTTAACAACCTGCCAAGAGGGCAGGAAAGTATTTTGGCTTGCAAGGAATACTGCCTTGTTTAGGCAACGCCTACTGGGTGAATGCCCTATGGGAGAAGCATGGTTCTGTTTTGAGAAAGAAGGAATGAAGGATTTAATAAAAGAAAAACAACTAACAGAAGTACCCAAAAAAGACCAATTAGAGATACCTGATGGGAAGAACTTATTCATAGATTTGGTAGAAAGGATCAGTAAAGAACTAAATATAACTAATTGTTGGGTCTGTGGGAGTACAAAGATGTCTGAACTCTGGCCATGGGAAGGAATTAGTCTGGGACCATTGGAAGTCCTCAAATGGAAACAAACAGAACCAAAATCCCAGCTCTTAATGAAGAGAGCTAAAGAGAGATGGGATTTAAAATCAAAGGTAATTGGTGAAGAATGTATACTGAGAACAGGAAAAAGGTATACTACTCCGGTTGGAAGGATGGCTTGTAAAAGGTATTTGATCACAAAGGATATAGGTACTAAGTGGATCCCACAAAAAACAGATAGGTATTGGGCAATTGAAAAGAAAAAGAAGGGATGCATTTATCATGAGGGGTATAACCTCCATGAATGTGCAGACAAGGGAATAAACCCCCTTTGGGAAGTAAAGCAGATATCTAAATTTTGGGAACACCCCACACAGATAGCAGATACTTTTTGGGAAGCCCCTGACCACTTGTTTTGGATTTGTGGAGATGTTGCTTACACTATCCTTCCAAAGGATTGGACAGGGAGCTGTACAATAGGCATTATCAAGCCTGCCTTCCTCCTCTTACCTAAAGAGTCAGGGACGAGCCTGGGAGTTCCAGTATATGATGACCTGAAGAAATTAAACCGAAAAAGAAGGAATGTAATTGACATGGAAAGCACTCAGAAATGGAAAGGGAGAATTTGGACACCAGAGGAGATCATTAAAACTTATGGACCGGCAACATGGGCCCAGGATGGATCTTGGGGATACCGTACTCCAATTTACATGTTAAATCGGATTATCCGACTCCAAGCGGTACTTGAAGTAAATCTCCAATCGAACAGCCTCAGCTCTTGATCATATAAATACTCAACTGGCACAAACCAGAACAGTTATCTGTCAAATTCAGTTAGCAGTGGACTATCTATTGGTGGATGAGGGAGGAATTTGTGGTAAATTTAATTCTTCTGAATGCTGCTTGGAGATAGATGATAGGAGCGAGGTCATTAAAAACATATCCACAGAGATCCGTAAAATTGCTTATGCAGGGACACAAGAATGGATTCCTTTGCTAGATACCAGCTGGTGGGATGACTTTTGGTCATTTAAAGGAAAATGGTGGAAGAAGGTAGCTTTTGTAGCTGCAGCTGCACTAACAAGCCTACTATTTCTACCCTGCCTGCTCCCCTGCCTAATCAGAATAATCTCATCCACAATCCAAGCAAGTACTTAAATTTCAAAAACAACTGAACATACTAAAATTATGGTCATGGAAAGTCAACAAGAGGAACATAAATCAGCTAAGAAGGTCTATGACCAATACCAAAAACTGAGGAAGTTCTATTTCCAGGAATCAGAAATTGCCAATTGATGCGGGCTTGAGCCCGATCAAAAAGAAAGAGGGGGGATGTTGTGGGAAATGAAATTCTAAAGTTATGAGTTGTTAAATTAAGAGTTGGTCGCTGTTCATATTTGATTGATCAATTGTTGGAGTTTTTAGTGCCTTTACCCCTGGTTGTTTTCTCCCTGCTTCACCCGTGGTTACTTTTCCCTTACATTGTATCCCCTTCCCCTCCAGTAGTGACGCCACTGCTCCCCAAAATGGTGCCTGAGGCTGCACGCAAATGAGGTTGGACTGAGTGCTGCCGGGAAACAAAAACCCCTAACAACAACGAGCCAACAGGAAAATAAAGGACCAAAAGAACATATCCTGGTGAACTAAGAAGGAAGACCATCTTCCTACACCATCTGAACCTGCTTAGAAGTGGTCGCCATGACATAAAAGAACTAGAAAAGACTGACCCCTGGACTACGAGGCAGTAAAGTAGTCTTCCTAGGGACTCCTGTGAGGAAGGAAGATTCAGCTCTGCCCTAGTGACAAAGCTGCACGGATCTTTCTCTTCTGCGATGTCCAGTGGGAGCAGTGGTGGTGTGCGCGACCTCTCGGATCCCCACTCCAGAGCTGTCCTGTTCAATAAAGGCCTTTAGTAAAAGGAGCTGGTCTCCTAGCCCGTTCATAACAGGGGGTGGGAACTGGAGGACACCGCGGGAACCAAAGTGCCGACGTGAGAAAAGTGTGAAGAAATAGGAATGACTACGCCAATGAACACACGCCGCATCCCCTTAGGGACACTCCGCACCCCCTCAGCACCGCGTTCGTAGCTCGCACGGAACACCCAGACCCCAATAGCCCTCAGGCGGATCCGGCCGCCTGTGGGTCCCCGCAATCCCCCTCCAGCGCCGTGCCTGCACACCGCCCCGAGCGGGGCGGCCTCCGAGGCCGCGCACACAGACACCCAGACCTGTGTGCACGTGTGTCCGCACTGACAGGCATGGACAAGCGGCCGGAGATCGCACACCCACGCCGTGCAATCCCATGTTCCTGAATCACGGAATATGCCCTGAGCTGGAAGGCACCCCTCAAGGATTATGGAGTCCAATTCCCGGCTCTGCGCGAGACCGTTCCCAACAATCCCACCCTGTGCCTGTGAGCGTTGTGCAAACACTTCCGAGCTCTGGCAGCCTTGGGGCTGTGACCATTCTCTGGGGAGCCTGTTCAGCCCCAGCACCCTCTGGGGGAAGAACCTTTCCCTGATAGCCACCCTAACCCTCCCCTAACACAGCTCCAGCCGTTCCCTCGGGTCCTGTCCTTGGTCACCAGAGAGCGGAAATCACTGCCTGCCCCTCCTCTTCCTCTCACGTTTGAGTTGTAGGTTGCGTGCGGTGAGTTGTAGATTGTAGGTTCTCTTCTCGTGCTATGCTATTTTATGCCGTGCCGTGCCGTGCCGACAGGGGACGCACACCCGACACCACCCGTGGCTGCCGGCGCGGCTCCTTTAAATGCTAATAAGGCGGCGCGCGTGCCGCGCCGGCCCCCGCTGACTATGTTAAAACTTCGGCGGGGCCATTTTGGGGGCAGTAAGACCGAGCGCGGCCGAGCACCCAACAGATCCACCCGGCACCATGAGCGAGGAGCCGGAGACCAGCACCACAAGCCCCGCTCCCGCCACGCCGCCCGTCCCGCCCGCGGCTGCCGCGCCGCCCGCGCCCGCCGCCCAGGACGCCGCTCCCAAGAGCGCCGCCGCGCCGGGTGCGGCTGCTGGTGAGGCGACCCCCAGCGCCGCCGCCGCCGCCACAACCGCGGTGACTGAGTCGAAGAAGAAAGTGCTGGGTGAGTACCGGGCCCTGCTCCCAACTTCGCGGTGCACCTGCAGCGGGGCAGGGGGTCTGTCCGCCGCCGCCGCCGCCGCCCGCAGCCGGGGCCGGCGCGCTCGCTCCCCCCGCGGTGAGTCAGGCCGGGCTGCCGCCGCCTCCTCCTCCTCTCCCGCGGGCCGGGGGAGCAGCGCGGCGCCGGCCGTGACGCGCTCGGTAGCTGAGCGGGAGCCCGCGTGTGCCTTGTCCGCCCGGACCGAGAGGGACAGCGAGCGCGACACTGCAGGGCTCAGCCCTTTCCCGGCACCTGCAGGTGGCATCTCCCCCGGGAAGGGCTGCTGGAAACTTCTGAGTGCTAAGGTCCCACACAACTTTTCTATTAATAAAGAATACTGCTTTAGTAATGCTTCCAGGTTTAGTGGGGTTTGTTTGGTTTGAGAGTTGTTTCGTTTTGTTTTTTTTTTTTGCGGAGCGGGGTTTAGTTTCTACTTTACTGTCAGTAAAAAGGGAAACGAAATGCCATGTTGCCATCTCTGTGCTCCAGCCTGGTGCATAGCAAGTGTGACTCTTTTTCATTGTGATTAAGTTGAATCAACCTCTTAAAAAGGACAGGACTTAAGTCTGCGGGCTACTGCCGATAGGAGTGTACTATTTCTAACTGTGTAACTACCGAGGGTTTTCTAAAAGCAAAGTTGAAGCTGACTTACAGTGTAGAGTCCCAAATTTCCTTAAGGATACCCAGGATCTTCTCTTGTGAAGGGGAAGACTGGGGTCTTGCTGCAAGAAAGAGAAGCCAGGTAAAGGATTTCTCTGGAGTGGAGTTAGGAAGAATTCTAGCAAAATAGAGATTGGAGGCACAGCTTGTGTGATTCTTCTTATTCCCTGTTATCTCATTTGTCAGTAATGAGTACAAAGGAATCAGCACATCCTCTTCTCTTGGTATATTTGGCTGCTTCTTCCCTTAATCTGGCTTGTTTCATTCCTGATAGTGTTTTTTACCTTGTTCACCTATTCCTATTGCTTGGAAAGAAGGGATGGGGGGAAGTGAAGGTAGAATTCCTGAACTAGCAGGAAAATTAAAACCACTGTGGTGATGGTTTTGCAAAATGGCCTTATTGCTAGGCAAGCTTTTTATTAGGAATGATGAGGAAAATGATCACTGTAAATACTAATTGAAAATGGACTTGGGTTAAAGCCCATCTCAAATGTCCCTGTTAATGGTTACCTGTGTAGTCACGTTCACTTAAGCCTTCTTTTACAAAGATCCCATTAGAAGCAAAGCCTTATGCTTGCTTGGGGCATCCAAATGTCTGACTTCTAGGAATATTGGTAAAGGTTACTCAGCTTTCTCTTTTCTTCTGGTCACAGGAAGCTTTGGCTCTCCTTGTTAAAAGCCTATTTTGTCATGGGTAGGAGCGGCTGATGATTGTTTCCTCTGATAGCATCAGACTACAGCATTTTGTAGAAAAATGTGGGCTTCTACTTGCTGGTGGGATGTATGTCAGCACATCGACTGCCTTCTGTGACTCATCAGTTCAACTAGTTATTGTGTTTTCCTCTGGGCTTGTCTTGCTGCCTGCCAGACTTGCCTGCTCAGGTTTACCAGTGACTGTGCCATGGATGGTCAGTGTCATGCTGTTGTCTGAGGTTCTTTTGGCCCACAGTGATACTTAGGGGAGACTGTAAATATCTGCAGGGAATAGTATTTCTCTAGCACGCTGTTCTAGGGGGAATATATTGGACTCTCCCCCTGGAACAATGTTGTTTTTAAACTGTGTGCATACTCCTCCACTTAGCAGCAGCCAGCTGGCCACAGAGTGAATTTTGACTGCCTCTCCTTCCCCAGCCTCTTGACCCCTCTGAGGGATTTTGTCATGCTTCCTAGGCTTCTTCCTAATCTGGTTCAAGTAGGCTAACAGATTCCAAAGCTATTTTGCAGGGGAGGGAAAGGATGATGTTGAGGGAAGCAGTGGTACTGGCATTGTTTCTCAAAGCAGGCTGAAACCTGCAGGTTCTGTTGGCACTATTTCTGTGTTCCCCCATCCCCTTGTGAGTGCAGGCAGCTCTTGTAGCCAATGCCATTGTGGTAGCAGGAAGCGTCTGTATGTGGTGATGTCCCTGTGAAACTGAACCTAAAAGGGCTGCTATAAATACTGGTGCTGAACGCTTTACTGAACCAGTGTTGAGCACTGAAACAATGTTTTTCTATTCCAATAAACAAGAATTCTTGGGAATGTATATTGTACTAAGCAAGAGTCCTTTTTTCTAGGTAATATCTCAGTCATGTTAAGACTTTGCTGCTTCTGAATAAGAACAATTTCTACTAAAAAGTGTACTAAAGGAGAGGAAAAACTTCACTTCTAAAAGGGCAATAAGAAAGGGTCTGTTATTGACAATAATAACAGCAGCAATGCTACAATGCACTGCTATTGTCACACATGCTTACTTGAGGGGGTGTATGAGAATGGCAAAACTCCAGGAGACCAAAGGTCTGCCTGGCTCTGTCATCTCCTTGTGAGTATTTAGAAAAGAACACAGGTGTAGAGTAGATGAAGGTAACAATTTACAGTGTGTTCTTGCCTCTAGCAGAGCGGCCTGGACTTCTAAACTGGAGATTCTCTAGTCTGTTTTCCTTTTAATTGCCTCTTGGGTTCTTGCCACCCCAAAATATGTATGTGAGGTTTTTAGCAAGCAGTCATCTTTAGGTGACTAGACCCTTTTCAAGTAAGTACTGCGCAGGTTGCTTAGGTAGTTGTAATCAAGCTGTGTTAACAAGTAACAGCTCTTAAGTTACAGAGGCTAAAACTCTCCTTTTACTAGAGGTTTGAAAAGTGCAAGTTTGTGATGTCCATTCAGTTGTGAGATAAGGAGGGGTTGAACTGCCTCCATCACTGTCAGGTTCCTCCTACACATTTCTAGAAGTTGGAGAAACAGGTTTTGCCAGGTCCTATAAAAGACACTGCAGGGTGGCTTCTTAAGTAGGTGGTGTTTTACTGTTGAGACAGGAACTTGCCTTGATATGTAAGTCATGGAACATGAAGTTGGTCACTTTGTAATCAAACAATCACAGATCATCTTAACAGTAGGAGTACTACAAAAAAAAAAAAAAAAAAGTTTTGTAGGGTCTTACGTGGTTAGTGTGATGCTGACAGTGCAAGAAGGAGCTTTTCCAGAATAAGGATGTGCTGCCTTTCCAGTTGGGAGGGTTGCACAGTACTTGATACTGCTTCTTTGGGCAATTCTGGTTTCCAAGGAAGAAAGAAGAGTAACTGTAAGTGAAAGAGAGGAATTTTAAACGGCTTCCTTCAGCTATATTTCATGTCTAGCTATTAACCTAAAGAGAACTGATGAATGGCAGTGGAATTTTCAGCTTTGCTGCCCATTTCTGGGATAAGAAATAAAAAAGGGGATGAATGGTCAGTTCTGAAAGTAGAGCTAGGTGTTGTGCTGAAGAATAATGTGTTAAAGCACTGCATCTTGTTACTGGATTAGAATGAACTGAACTGGGAGATGAAAGCACACTTTGAGTGTTAAGGGAGCAGACCAAGTCTGGTTGCAACTTTGTCTGCAATTACAGAAGTATTTACTTAACATTATTGTACTTTCTTATATTTTAGATTAACTTCTGTAATTTTCTTTCCAGCCACCAAAGTTCTTGGCACAGTCAAGTGGTTCAATGTCAGAAATGGATATGGCTTTATCAACAGGTATGTTTAAATTCTGATAGTTGTATTTATGCTGTACTAAGATTCATAGTACACATGATAGGCCATGTGTTACTAATTGCAGCAGAGACCTCAGGACCTGACTACAAGTTTGTGCAGCTGATAGTCATCTTAGGCCAGGCACTCAGCAAACTCTTTCTTAAACACCTCAGCCCCCAATCAAAGGTTATGTGTATGGGGAGAAAACAGAAAGGGTCAAACTCACTACAAATTTGGTCTGTTATCTGTTTCTCATGTTTACTTCTACTACACTCTTAATGAGTTGCATATTCTTTAGTGACTGCCTGGCTTTTTTCGAAGGCTTTAGAAAGGTAGGAGGATGAGGGGAAATACTTTCGGATAAACTTCCAGTGTTAACTGCTTGGTCAGAATACCTCCTGTAGATACTCACTGAGATTCTCTAATAGTATCTCACTGACAATATGCCGAGCCTGGGTTTCATAGAAATTCTCTCTTTGTATCTTTTGGATTTTTCCCTCTTCTCTGGGCACAGACAAACCTCTGAATAGCATTGAGAATCCAAACAGCTGTATGTGAGATTGATTGTACTGCAACCTTAGGTGCAGAAGACCCATGCTTCCAATTTACTGCAGGAAACTCTGGCTTTTAAGGTTGAAATATCTTTGGGGCTTGAATGTCTTGTGTACTTTTTTGAGGAATGTAACTGCTGCGTGCTGAGCACTAGTCTTTCAAAAAACATACCTAGCAAGTTATTTCACTCTGCAAGCTGTTACACATCAGGTAGATTTGGTTGAGTTGGACAGTGCAGAAAGGGGTAGAAGACCTCACATTCATGGATCTGAAGCCAGTAGTGGTGTGGTATTAATCCCAGTCTCTGGAGGTTATTAGCCAGTGTTATGTAAACTTAGAAGAAAAGTTTTAGTTAGGAAGTCCTCTTAAAATCTCTAATAGCAGTTGATACAAGAGCCTTCACCTGGTTGTGATGTAATAACTTGTTAGCTTTCTTCCTAATGTGAAGTCTACTGTTGCTTCAATCCAGGACAACAAATTTAGGATTATGCATTATCTTCACAAACTCTTTGACCCACCTGTTCGGTTTGCTGAGAAGGAATTGAGTGAACAGATGGGGGGGCTTTCTTACTGTATGGGAACACAGATTCAAGGTCTCAGACTTACCTTTGTGTTTTGCCATGTGGAAGCCTGAACTGTCTGGCCTAATCCAGAAAGCCTCATGTTCATGTCTGGGTCCTCCTCCTGTGGACTCTCCTAAGGCCCCTTGTGCCTAGTTGCTTTGCGTTTCACTGAAAGGAGATCTCTGTTAACAGCTGTGGCCAGTCCTGTTGGTAGTCTTGTTTGACCTCTGCAGTAACAGCTCAGATTGCAGTCCCTCTGGAAGTGTTTTTGGGGAGTTAGAGTAGTGAAAAACAAGCAGTCCAGTCATCAACTCTGCCCTGCATAAAAAGAAAACACTGAATGCTTGCCAAAAGATTACAGAGAACCTCCCCCATCCTCTCATGCTTTTGAAGGCCCTGGAGTCCTTTCTGTTCTCAAGCAAATGACCATGGAAGTTTAGAGTGGGGTTTTAGTAGCATAGGCTTAGACAGAATGTATGGAATTCAGGGCATGTGCTACAGGCTGAGAGAAGGAGAGTTTCACTTGAAAAGCCAGGAATTTCTAGTTAAGTCTTTTTAGACTAAACTCTTACTCACTTTCTTTTACAGAAACGATACCAAAGAAGATGTGTTTGTTCATCAGGTAAGACAGCAGTAATCATGCTTGGAGATGTGTACTATGATAGGTTTCTAATGCAGCTTCTTGCAACAGCTACCCAACCTTGTCCTGGCTTCTCCTTAGAATATTTTCGGCAGATAACTTGAGTGGATGTGTATGTTGAAATTTTCAGGGAGAAACATTAGGTTGTTTTCCTTCCCTATGAAGGGCTAGGTATTTTTATCTTTCTTAACCCTTTTTCGTCTGCTCTAATTTGAACACTAAAGGTGGTTTTTTTGGTGAGGTTTTTGTTTGGTTGTCTCCCCTTGGTGAGATGCCTTCTCTGTGAATACCTTCCTACTGTTGTCTGTCCTTCTTCCTAGTTCCTTATTCTCCTTGTCTTTTGTTTCTTCCTGCCCTCTTCACTTGCAGGTCTGTTCTGTCTTCCCTCCCTGGTATTGGAGAGAAAGTGATCTAGTCTGGCTCCTAACCAGCCTGGGTTGCCATCAGCTGTTTCTGCATGAGGCAGCTGCTCTTAGGCAGAAGAGGAGGAAGGCTGTGTGCCAAGTGTGCCCAAGCAGAGAGCTTGCCCAGACGCTTGTTATTGGTTAATTTCCCTTGAGCTGTCAGGAGGCTGTTCTAAGTTTATACTGTGACTCTCAGGTTGCAGGCAAATAATGGCAAGACAGAGGATGCTGTCTCCATGCTGATATCAACTGATTAGTTGTCTTATGTCTGGTTTTGCATCATTCACTAGAAACTGCAATCTTGCCCCTAGAGTTTGTCCCATATAAAATGTCTGCAGGCTCATGTGGTCTTTGAAAGCATGAACTTTTTCTGTGGCATAAGTGAGTATTTCTATCAAACATAACCAGGAAGTTTGTTCCCAGAGCCAGTCATTGTGAATGAAGGAGGATATGTGCATATGTCTTTAGCTGATGAGTCAACACTGAGAGTTAGTTTAGTTCTTGTGTCTTGATGACTAAATAGTGGTAACAGTGGTAACTGTTTCTCTGGGTGTACACCCATTGTCTGAATGTGGCTGAAGCTAGGATAAATCTAGTGCCTGTTATGAGAGAAAATGGTGTTGGGAAGTGTGCACAGTACATGTTCCTGGTTCAGCGGGTGGGCTTAAGAGCGAGAGCTGTCAATGTGTATACTGATTTTTTTTATGGTCATTTTCCTTCCTTAGTGGCCTGTGCTGTGGGCATGCTGACACATCTGTGGTCTGATGGGATTATGTCCAGAGGAGAGTGGGAACAGTTCTGGAAGAGAAACATGTTTTGGATAGGCAGCAGTGCCTTAAAGACAAATGAGATTTCCTTGATACTTGTGAGACAGTATCCTGGAAAATGGCTTTTGTGCCATTGGGAAGGCTGCCAGCTGAGACCCAAACAGAAAGCTAGTATTATCTGTGCTGTTTTGTCTCCTTCACATGTAGAGAAGATTATTCCCCTAAATGTAAACTGGTGTGTGGAAAGGGATGGGCACTTCCCATCTCCTGTAGCTGAAGTCCTTTTGGGGTGAGCAAAACTGGCTTTGTTTCAGAAATACCACATCATGTGCAGATCTGCATCAGATTAACCCTCTTGGCAGGCTGGACATGGCAGAGTAGATGCTTCTAGTGCTGCTCTGGCTTGACTGCAGTTGTATGTTCCTCATCCTGTATGTGGGTGTGCTTGCTCCTAGATCCTGGGACATTCTGGCCAGAGCTCCTGATGGGGCCGTCTGACAAGGGAGGCAAATCCATGCTGTGAACAAACATCCTGCTTCAAACTCCCTCTGCTTTGACAGTGCCTCTCCCTCCTGCCTGGGAGGGGCTGGATTACACTCCTAATCCCTTCAGAATAAGGTTGACCTAGTTGAATAGATACAGCTTCTCCCTGCCTCCCCTGCATGCATTCGCACGGGGAGGGAATGGGGGTTAGTGCTTGGTGTCTGGCTATTGGATGCTATTTATAACTAGTACAGACTAAAATGCTTTTCTTTTTAGGGCATGCATGGCTTGCTTTGTGTTAACCCTTTGTCTTGCAGGGACCCCAGGCAATGTTTTTGGAAAGGGCAGTTCTTCACCTTGTGTCCCTGTCTCATTGGTTGGTGCAAGGTGCTGTCCAGGGCATTGTGTCAGTCAGCTACAGGTGCTGTCCAGGGCATTGTGTCAGTCAGCTACAGGTGCTGTGAGCAGAAGGGATCCATCTACCTCATGGGCTGCAGTGTGTCTTACAATTTAATAGGAAAAGTGTCAGCAGCCGGAGCAGTTACATTTAATTAGGCAGAGTTTAAATCAATGAGCTGTGAGGAGACGTTTTTATCATTCTCTTCTCTTGATTGTGTTGATCATGTGCAGCCTGAAGTACCTGCACCAGGAATTGGTATAACAATTTTTGGCTGTTACTGGGATAATGCTGGATGTGCTGATGATGTGGTGGTATGAACTTATGGAAAGAACTCTTCCAAGCAACCTGAACTAGCTCTGGAGGCTCTTCTGGCTGCCTCTTCATCCCTGGGAAAGGAAAGGCTTTACTGTTGAGTGTTGTCTGTTAATATGAAATGTCTGTCTTCTGAATCAGAGAAGCTGGTAAACAGTAACAGGGAGAATAGTGCTCTCTTCCCCCTCTGGATAAACAGAGTAAAAGTCATTTCATCAAGCTTAGGGTTTAGGCTTGTTAGAGGCTTATTTCAGTGATGTTTATATGCAGCTGAAGTACTAAAGCTGTATAATTTCTGCTTGGATTTCTAGGATTTACTCAGATTTGTCCTGATTGCCTTTATAAAACAAGCTCCAGTCTACTGCAGCCTCTACCTTCTGTTTGCAATTGCAGGTCTGGATTCTTGAAATTTCTGCCCATAAAGCTGGGAACAGACCATGTGGGATACTGTTGCTTTTATCTTCAGTTACACTTTTTGAAGGATATTTGAGAACCTTCATCAATCTTAAGTGTACCCTCTGCTGAAAAGAAATTTGTTAGTCCTTTCTTCTTCTGCACTTACAGGGAAGGAGTTTGAAATACAGTTTATTGACATCTCTGTCACATGCAAAGTACAAGTCTTACAAATTGTAGTCAGTTGTTTCAGTACAAATAGGACTAAACCATTAACTAAATTATTAACTTTCCTGCAGATTAAGGGTTTTAGTACTAGTATATAACATTTCTGGAAAAGCAAACACTTCTACCTGTTTTTTAGAAATTGGACAGTTACACTAAAAGGTCAGCAGAAAGCAAACAGTTATTTGCTACAGTAATTCCCAAAGGAATTGCCTTGAACAGCTCATTCAGTTTCTGTATTAAAAATCCCCAAACCTCTTGAGATGTTTTTGCTTTGATAATAGTAGTATGTGCACTCTTACATCCTTCCTCAGGGCTGTTCAGGGATGCTTCAGGATATAGGGAAAAGGTATGGCTAGAAGGATATGCTGGTCTGTTTCCTGAAACACAAAGGAGACTGTATTCAGCAGAAAGGAAAACAGGTTTCTAGACTAGTCAATATGAGCTTTAAATTGAGTAAATTTTTCCTTCAGTTGGAGACATTCTGGGGCTGTTGACTAAATATTGTTGCTATGCAAAGGTAACAGCTCCACTGATGGTCATTCTGCAGTTTTTCTGAACTGCAGACAGATAGGACAACTCACTCTTCTGTTTCTGCCCTACATCCCATTTCTTAAGCCAGATTTATGCCCTGTGTTTCCATGTGTATTTCTCTCTGCTGGCTCTGCACCTCCCTTCTTCTTGCTAACTACAGATTCCCGTATCAGGAAACCTAATGTGAATTGGTCTTTAGTAATCTAATGCAAGATAATGATCTTTCACTAAGAAAATAACTACCAGATCAGTTTGTACAATGCATGTCTTGGTCTTTTCTCCTTGGCATCTTTCAGTTTTTAAAGCCTTGCCTAATGAACAGACCATAGCCTTGCCTTGCTAATAACCTTTTGTGGAGTCCTAGAAATGCTCCACAGAATTACAAGCAAGGTATTTGTAGCTGACACACTGAAAATTGCTCCAGGAGGTTTGAGTGTTTTTGTGAGTCTGAGGAGATGTACAACTGGCTTTGATCCAAACCCATGTTGTTATTTTTATGTAACAATAATAGTATTATTATCATTCATAGCTATTATTGTAGTACTTTGGGGGTTCTGTCCAGGACGTGGCTAAGATTGCATTTGTCTGTTCTGGTACTATTCCTGTGTTATCACAGATTCACCTAATATTTGGGGGTCTCATTACAGTGCTTAGATAAAATGCTAATTAGTTACACCAGAGTTACAGTAATTATTTTCTAGTTACCGTGACTTGCCATGATACCATATAGTTAATGCTTCCACAGAAATGCTCTGGGTCTTGAGTTCTCTTTAGATGGTCTACAGCTCTCCTAATGACTGAAGGCAGGGGTCATGCTGCTAGAGCTGCCTTGGTCCAGCTTGGAGGAGATCAAACACTGAGTATGAACTCTATTCAAGGAGAGATTTGTATTAATTTCCATATTCAGTGTCCTGGACAGAGCAGATCCTGGGGCAGCAGCTGATTTATAAACTCATAGTGAGAAAGCAGGTGATCTTGAACTGAGTATTGGTGGGCCTGTGAAATAAGAAACATCTGTGTATCTGAAATACCTTAGTATGGTGACTGCTCTGGTATATAGAGTTGGAATTGTAGCAGAGAAATACTGGCCTTCCCTCATCTGTCAGGCTATGAATGTGTAAGATAAGTAAGATAATATATTTTTATGCATCTTCCTTTCAAGACGGCGATAAAGAAAAATAATCCACGGAAATACCTGCGCAGCGTTGGCGATGGAGAGATTGTAGAATTTGATGTGGTCGAGGGAGAGAAGGTGAGAGATCATGGAGCCTCAGGATGTGGTCCAACAGAGAGAACATCACATACAACTTTAACTGTGTGTCTAGCTGATGTGTTGATCACTGGGTTGGTGGCATTCATACAGCTTTTCTGGGGGAAATCTGTTTTTAAAGGCTTCATTAAGGCATTTTTCTAGATATGTATCAAAAGTACTAGGAAACTGCATCCTAGTGCTTATAGAATCTGCAGTTGTTACTTGAGAGAACATTTGAAGCCTACAGCCTGCCCATGAATTATTAACTGAGGCCTATATTGCCCTGAACAATTTTTCTTGGAATCTGGTAGCTTAATAACGGTAAGAACTTTCAATTTCCTTATGTTTCTACTTTCCTGAACATTTTTGATGGTTATTTTTGTCTCAGTCAGTTCCTTGCTTCCTCCTCTGAAGTCAGCCCATTGGATAGAATTTCAGTATCTTAACTCATGATGGTATCTCTTGGTTAAGGGGTTGGGAATAACAGACCTCCTTTTGCCTTATGCAGGAGAAAGGAATCACTGGAACTTATGCAAAAAAGTCTCCTGTTTCATCTTCTCCCTGTAGCTGGTTATTCTTCTCTCACACCACCCTGGCTGCCTTTCTTTTGTCCTCTTAGGGTGCAGAAGCAGCTAATGTCACTGGTCCAGATGGAGTCCCTGTGGAAGGCAGCCGCTATGCTGCAGACCGGCGCCGCTATCGGCGAGGCTACTTTGGCCGACGCCGGGGTCCACCTCGGAGTGTGAGTTCAATTTCCTTGGGTTGCTACTGCCACACACAATACTGGCAGGGCTGTTTCTCACTTGGCTGTCTGAGGCACTTCTGACCATGCAACATAAGTCTAATAAGCTTTCAGGTTGTGGTGTACAAGGCATCTTGACAAAACCAGAACAGATTGGTATTGCAAAGTGGATAATTACTAGAAAGCTTCATAAACTGAGAAGCATTATTTTTTTGAGTTCTGAGTCTCAATTATACCTTGACTGCTGTCAAATACTACCTGTTCCCACTATCCATCCTAGTTTGTTTGAATATTTAGTTATCCTGATTAGTTTGATACATGAGACACCCAGCATCACAGATGATTGTGGGGTTTTTAATGGTGTATGGTCATGGTAATTAAAATGGCAGTGGAGAATGGGAAGGATACCTGTGAAACTTAAGGTAGATTACCAAGTGCTGTCAGGTGGCTACAGCTTTTGTTCCTACTTGATCAGATGCAGAAAATGCACTTCTGTTTCTAGATATCTTGTTAAATTCCTTCTTTTAAAGGGAAGACTAGTACACAAGGAACTGTAAGATATGTAACATTGTATAAAACAGACATTAACGATGGCTGGCATTTAAAACACAAACCACAAACAAAAATCAAACCAGAAAAAATGCCACCCAAACCAACATGGAGCTTTATCAATTAACAATTAAAGGGGAAAGATAACCACTGCATCTCTGAAGGATTGAAAAGACTGTGTAGAAAGAATGTTTGATGTGAGTAGTACAGTTTTTCTATCTTAAAATTTCTTAATGTTTTTGTGGGGGATTCCCTGTGGAATGGGCCTTTGTGTAGAATGTGGTCTGTGGCAAGTTTCTGTGTGATGTCTTTGTTAGCTTTCCAAATACAGAATTGTCATGATCAATAGCTGCCTCTCCATAATGTGTACCCGTTACAGTGCATTTCATGTAGTGAAATACACTTAATATGCAGTAGAGAGAACATTTCTAAGATCAGTTTCTTAGTCTGTGGGGAGGAGGGGCAGCACTGATGGCTCTTGTTTTGTCCTTATCTTAACTTTGCCCAAATTTAAGCCTTTTGAGAATCTACTGCTTCTTTTTACCCAATATGCTGGGGTTTCTGTACTGATAAGTTTTTGAGCTTGCATTCAGGGTTATGGTTAATGTACTGCCTGTCAAATACAGCACTTCTGTTTTCTTTTGGTAGCAGGGTGGTGAGGGAGAAATCAAGGATGGGGTCACAGAAGGAGGACAACTTCAGCAAGTGCACAGGAATCCTACCTATCGTCCCCGCTATCGCAGGTCTGTATGGTTCATTTGCTCAGTTATTCAGATGCTTTTGTGTTCTATACAGGCTTCCAAGTGTGGGAGCACTTATGCAAATGGCAGGGACAGTGAGAAGCATTTTAATTACTTGGAGAAATTTGTTTCATGTGCTTGTATGTTCAGAATCATGATGGCCCAGAAAGGGAAAAGAATTGCTTAGAATCCCATTACTTCTCACATCTTAGCAGCATGTTGAAGTGAGTTGCAGTATCTATGTCATCCCAGCTGAACACTTATACTTTCCTGGACAAGTAATAACCCAAATCCTTGATCTGGGACCCTGCTGGGGGTGCTGGTGGATGAAAACTGTGTGCGAGCTGGTAAATGTGGAGTTGCAGCCCACAAAGCAACCACATCCTGGGCTGCAGCAGAAGCAGCATGGCCAACGGGCTGAGGGGCATGACTGCCCAGTACTTGAATGGGGCTTATAAGAAAGATGGGGTTAAACTTTTTAGCAGGGACTGTTGTGTTAGCATGAGGGGTAATGGTTTTAAACTACAAGAGATTTACAGTAAGTAGAAGGAAGACTGTTTTTACGTGAGTCTGGTAGAACACTGAAACAGGTTGCCCAGAGAGGTGGTAGATGCCCCTTAGAAGGTCAGGTTGGACTGGGCTCTGAGCAACATGATCTAGTTTGAAGGGGGTTGGACAAATGACATTTAAAGGTCCTCAAGGAGCTGGTTTGCCTGCCATTCATTCAGTTGCCCCTCATCATATTGTCCTTGTTTATCAAGTAGCTTATGAAGTCAAATTCCAACACTGAATTTAAAGATGAACTGTGAAAATTATTTGATCCCCATTTCTTCATGTGCATGTCTGTACAAAAACAAAGAGGTGAATTACAGTGCAAGAGCAGCAACAAGCTGAATTTGATAGGGATAACAAGATTATTCTTAATTGTAATGATTTGCCTGTTCCATGTACAACAGGTCCATCCTTTTGGAATCTGTGTCTAAAAGCACAAGTCTTCCACCTCTACTTTGAGCTTTTCTGTTTATGAATAATCACGTTCAATTTGGCTCGTTTATCTAGGACTGTGGAAAAATAGAATACTAATGATGCTTGTTGGCATCCAAGCTGAATAAATTTAGTTCCTGAAAGTCTTCATTAGTTTTGGGCAGTCAGAGATAGCACCATACCAAGTCCAGTGAGGCTTTTGCATGTCATGTGGCTGAATCACAGGCTGAATAACTTGTCTGTGACTAATGGAAACTTGGGATTTTCTGATGAAATTTTCCTGTGAGAGGAATGATATCTCCTATCAGTTCACAATGCTTCTGTTTGAGTTTGCAGGTATTGCTTTTGTTTACAGGCACTAAATCCAGTGACACTGGTACTTTTGTTAGGTTCCTTTGGAGAAGCTTAAATTGGTTTTTGGTACTAGGTATCTGTGGATTAGCTAATGGGAACTGGATTTTGGCTGTATTTTGACAGTTTACAAACATTGTTTATACTAAAAATAAGATTAAATGCTCTTGTATACATCAAGAACATGGGCTTGATAGCTTAGTGTTAATGAGGTCCAGCTCACCTGTGATAGGTGCTTTTCCTAATTGGTTAAGAGGGGAAACATGAGGCCAAGAGCAAAGATCTAGGAATGGTTTGCAGGTAGAAGTGAGTAAGGTTACAATGACTGCACCATTAATTAGGAATAGGCCTGGGCTGGTATGTAGTCATGCCAAAGCTAACTCAGCACAAACAGCCTGTGTGGCCACTACTGGCTTGTTTCTTCTGCTAGCCAGCAATTCAGAGAGGCTAACTGCATCTTCATTGCAGAATAGACAGTATAATATGGTGATGGAGCTTCAACAGTGAAGAGACACACACTTTCTTTGTCTTTCCAGCTATATGCCAGCCAAACCCCCAAGGGATGGTTTGCTAGCATTCAGAATTGTTGAAGATGATACTGGGTTATGGGAGGCTTTGCTGGACTAAAATTACTGTAGTTTAACCTTTCTTGGGCTTTTTTCATACTTAACACCTCGTTCTGCCCTTCTCAGAGGGCCCCCTCGCCCACGCCCTGCTCCAGCGACTGGAGAGGTTGAAAACAAGGAGAACCATCATGAGGCCAGTGCCATGAGCCAGCAGCCGCTGCGCCGTGGCTACCGGCGCCCCTACAACTACCGGCGCCGGCCACGCCCAGCCAGCGCTCCAGCACAGGAGGGCAAAGAGGTACAGACACCAAGCTGCTCAGAGCCACGAGCACCTCTCCTGGGAGGAAAGGCTGGGGGAAATGGGATGGTTCAGCATGGGGAAGAGAAGGCTTGGGTTGACCTCATTGTGGCCTTCCAGGGCCTGAATGGAAAGATGAGGTAAAACTGTTGCAAGGGCCTGGAGTGACAGGACAAGGGGGAATGAGTTAAAATTGAAAGAGAGTAGGATTAGATTAGATTAGATTAGATTAGATTAGATTAGATTAGATTAGATTAGATTAGATGAAAAAAAAGTTCCCTGTGAGGATGATATTTTTCCTTGTGAGGCCCTGGCACAGGTTGCCCAGGGAAGCTCTGGCTGCCCGATCCCTGGAAGAGTTCAAGGCCAGGCTGGATGGGGCTCTGAGCAACCTGGGATAGTGGAAGGTGTCCCCTGGCCATGGCAGAAGATTGGAGTGAGGTGATCTTCAAGGTCCCCTTCCAAACCAAACCATTTTATGATTTTAAGTAGAAGAGATTTTAATGTGGTGAATGCCCAGGACCTTCTGCCCTATGTGAGTTTTTAATAAATGTGTTCATGTGCTGGATAAGTGTGACGACCAAATTTGATGCACTGATTTCATTGCCTGCTTCTTCTGACCCTCTTGGGGAATAAGCACCTTATCTTAAAAGGAACCAGCAGTGGGATAGGGATTGCTTCTGGATAGTTCTTAATTGGGGGCAGGCTGTAGCAACTATTTTTTAAGTGGAAACAGTTGTGTGTTCCTGCTTCCACAAACCTTAACTCTGAAGAGAATTGGATTTGAAAGCTCTAGGTCTATTTCCTGAACTGTTTGAATCAGATAATTTCAGGAAACTGTTTGCAAACACAGATTCTACTTTAATGAGGGAAGATTTTCTCATTCAGTGTCTACTTGAGGTATTCCCTTGACAGAATCTTCTGTATAATACTGAATTACAGGTAATACACTAAAATTTAACATTTTCTGGAGATTCATTTTTCTTGGTTGTTCTAAAACCTGCATTATGCTGGCTGTACCACTGAAGAGAGGAAGGGTGTGGAGGTCAGCCTTTGCCTATAATAAGAGTTTGCTGTGTCTCAGACAAAGGCAAATGAAACACCTGCTGAAAATCCTGCTCCAGTGACAGAGCAGAGTGGTGCTGAGTAATGTCCGGCTCCCCAGGCGCCTTTACCATCGCTCAGGTAAGGAATATGGATAGTTCCTGCTTTCCAGTGGAAGCAGCATGTGTATGCTTCTAGGATTCTGGCCACATGCCCTTATGTATGGCTTGGTATTTGTGATAAGTTCTGAGAGTGCTGTAGAGGCAAGCAAAGATGCTGCTTTTCTCTTCATTCTCCCCTCTGCTTCTGTATTTGTCACAAAGCTTTGCTTTATAATTGATTTATTTTTCTAGGAAGCTCTCTGGTCTGTATAGTGATAGCATCTGTTGATGAGTTATTTTATTTTAGGAAGATCCTGATTACAGACAGGATAAGCCAGTTGTCCTTGTCCTGCCTATTATAACTCTCTTTACATTTGACATCTTGTCTATTTATTGAGAAAGTGAAACTTAGACTGCATTTTTTTAAACATTTGGCTCTTCAACAGGTGTCCTGAAGTACAGCTCAAAAGTAACACCAAAGAAACACACAAGCAATAAATTGTCAACAGTGATGACGAAAGCAAAGATTTGAAATACCAAAATGTAAAAGAAAATTTACCAGCAGCTGAGATCCAGGGAACGCCTACAAGATAGATGCATGAAGAGAGAAAGAGAGCGAGATTCAGAAAGAACAGCCTCTCTAGTTTCAACAGCAACTGTGGGGCTTCTTGTTTTGTGGTGTTTTTTTCCTGAGAATTTCACTGTTTTGCTAGTATTGGGGTTTTTTTCAATTTTTCTTTTGGTATTAAACTGAAAAGGGGAAAAAAAAAACCAACCAAAGAATTAAAATTGAAACAAAATGCTTTTTTTATTGATGCTGGTGCTAAACCTCCCAAGTGTGAGGTTTTTTTTTTTTTTCTGTGCCAGTCCTGTTCACTGCAGGATGTGGGGAGGACAGACTTCCGCTTTCCTTGTTAAGATCTGTTTGAAGCTGTGCACATGGGTGACGTTCCTCTTAAATAAAAGTGATTTCAACTACCAAAAGAAATCTGGTTTAGTGTGTTTTTTCATGTTTATTCTTAAAATAATTAATTATTTTAATCTTGCTGCTTCAGCATTTATATGTGAAAGAGAGTTGCCTCTTTGGTGTGTACTGCTGGAGCATGGTTAGGTGGATAATTATATTAATATAATCTATTATAAAAATAGAAATGTAAATATATATATGTATATTGATATATCTATATTCTTTTAATAATATTAATAATTTGGTGGATATATATTTTTATTACAAAACAACCTTTGCAAAGAAAAGCTATAACTTACACTGTTCCCTCTGTTCCTCTGGCTCCAGTGATGGTTAATAGTTGGGTTTTCCTGTGGCAGGAGTTTGGGGCATGTGGAGTGAGTTCCTGGAATTTTTTTTCTTCATCTGTTTTGCTAGGCTTTTGTGTTCTGTAAACAGCAGAATCCAGTTTTGAGACTTCTCAAGAAGGACACTGGCATAGTAACTACCACTTTATCCAAGCTTCTGTTCTGAATAATATGTGACTGGCTTCTCTACTCTTATTTCAAAGCAGTGAAATCTCTGTACCATGTCATTTTAATGAGCAGAGCTGTCTTATAATATCAGTGGTTTTGTAATGTTCCTCCATAAAAATTGGCTTTCTTCCAGGTGTTATCAGTCTGCGTCCAGCTGTTGAATATGAGTGTGTATCTTGTGTCCTTCATTGTCTAGTCCAGCGTTTCTCACGTTCCTGTCTTGCAGTTGCTGTTACCCAAACCTTAGATAAGTATATTTGTTTCTCAAACAAATATTCCTGTTAATCTTGAGGAATTAAGCAGAGAGTGCAGGGCATAATTGCACTTGAAATTTTGTTTCCGGCTTCTGGGAAGGTGAGGAAGGGTCCTTGCACCCTGTTGCCTTTGCCTTGAGGAGAAGGAGGGTGGGAAAAGGCTTAGCGGTGCCTGAGTTGCACTGTTTACAGCTGACTGAATTGCAAGGGATTAGGAACCTCTTAATGAGTTGGGAAGTGAAAGCCATATGCTTGGTTGAAGAAGAAATCTTTATTTGGAAGTTGAAGAAATATGTCTGTTTTGACACAAAATAAAATGCATTAAGGTGAGGAAAATGTAAGTAATGGTACCTTTTAAAAATTCTTAAGCACCTTTTTTAAAAAATCTTTTTATGCTTAAATTTTGTTATGAACTAAATATGAAGACACATTGGGGAGAGGTTGATAATTTCACCATAACAAGCAGATGCAAGATATTCATAAATACTGAAATGTTACTGTAGAACTTGTCATAAAAACTACTTGAACTGCCTTCAATAGGTGTTCTTTCCTTGAGAGATTTGACAGGCTAAAGAGAATTTTCTTAATCTCTGCAAAAATGTAGGTCAGATTGAATCAGGTTAGCAAAAGTACCTAATTAGCCTTTTTTTTTTTTTTTTTTTATGAATGGAGAAGATGAGGGAGAGATGCAAGTGATGTCCTAGTATTTAGTTCTATTTGTTATTTGTCTTGCCTCCAATAAGAATGTTTACATAAAACAGAAGCCAATGACTGACATAACCTACTTCATCCCTTAATTCCCTGCTTATGAAAAATACAAGCTTAACTCTACCAAAGTTTAAAGCACTTACTAAAATTACATTTCAGATGTCTTGGGTTGTGCATAAATTGTTCCTTTTCTAGGCCACTAGCACTCTTGTTAGCTGAATTTGCCAGGAAAAAGATACAAACCTGGTGCTCAATTATGAGGGTAATTTCTCTGGACAGCTGGTGCTTGTGTATCTGTAAATAAGGCTATGGCTTATTTGCCTCAAGCAGAATTTCAGATGAGAGCTTAGTTTGTGTTGTGTTGGTTTGGTTTCTTAAAAAGACATTTAGCTCCATAGATTTTGAATTTGCAGAGTAGTTAATGTGCTGCAAAAACATTTCCTGTGGCTTGTGAACTTTTGAGGAGGATAAAAAAGGGAGAAAACAATTTTGTAGGCCTTCCTTTGTGCATTGTTTCATTTGAACATAATTGCAATACAAGGCATTCACAGTCTGGAGAGATAGGTGTACTGTAAGCTTCTGTCTTGGACAGCGGTGCTGCCATGGGAGAACTACACAGGTGCAACAAGTGCCTTGGAAGTAAAACCCTTTCTGTTGGAAAAAACTTTAGAAATAAAGCCTGTGCCACACAGTTTGCTATAAGAGTGGTGAAATCAGCTGTGGATGTCTGACTCTGTTATTTGTTGTGGCTTTTTAGAGAAGTCTCTTTGCAGATCCCTAGTTCAAAGCTATGGCCTTAGACATTCTGCTTTCTGCTGGTTTGGCTTTTAGGAGAGCCAAGGAGCCTTTAGCACTGCTGGGATTTTATAGAGAGAAAATCCATGCTCTGAAATGCTCAGAGTTGTAGGGAGAAGCATCTGCATGAGCCAAGTGGCAGTGGGATCCTTCCTCAGGTATAAAGGGGATTAGAAGATTTTGGAGGCCATATCAAATAAGTGGTAGCCTGAACTTCCTATTTTATGCTGTTCGCAATAATGGAGCAAGGCTGCTATGATTGAATTTTGAGTCCTAGAGCAGGACAGTGATGCACTGAGCAGAAAATGGATCTTGATGACTTAATACCACCAGCTGATGAAATGAGTAATTAATATCTTAAGGTTTTAAAATGTGATAGAAAAGACTCAGAGCTTCATTATATTTCCTGACTAACATCAAAATATATTATTCTTCAATGTTTGGCTGTAATGGTGACTTGAGTAAGACCACAAAGGTCCTTAGAATTAATCAATTATACTGCCACTTTCATGCCAGTAGTGCCTATATGATACAGTTTTTGTTCAGAAAAAAAAGAACACTATTTTAATAGTATGTGTATAAAAAGGTGTTACAGATTGAATTTCAGGAAAAATTGCTGCAAGAATCTGGACTGAAATTCTGAAAATATGCTAAAAGGTAAAACAGTTCATACAGATTCTTCAGCTTTTCTGAGATAACCTGAATTGGGCCTATAATGAAGAACTGGAGGGCAGTAGTAGTAAATGAAATAAATATTCTAGGCAGAGCTCTAGGATGTGTTCTGACAAGGTCAAGATGCCTGAGTGGATGTGTGAAGTGTTCCCATTTCAGTCCCCTTTCAGTTGTTTTACACTAAAGAGAAGGGCAGCTTTCAACCATCAAAATTATACAGGAAGCTCTGTATAAGTCTCTTCTGTTTCTTGGTAAGAAATTGTCAATGGAAACTCTAAAACAGAATATTGAGAATATTTATTATTATCCAGTTGATGGCTCTTGGATAGGTTACTCTTGGGCATCAGCCTGTTGACCTGCCAACAGGTGCAGTGCATAACTAAGATCAGTAAATTTTGCTGTGCCATGGGTGGTGAAAGCATTGCACTGTTACATACCACAGAATAATTCTCATCACAGAAAACGGGGTGCTGGGGATTTAAGAGATGTCAGCAATCCAGTTGACTGGTACAGTTATGTGAGCACTAGATGGGGCTGTTACTTCACTTACTTTTTTCTGGAAATTCATGGACACACCCCTGTGACAGGAAATAAAGGTGTTGCAATGTGCGTTATCTGGGCTCTGCTGCAGGCTCTAGGGGGGCTGAGATAGGGTAGCTGGTGAGTTATAACTCAATGAATAAATAAAGGGAAAAAAACCCAAAGTATAAATATCTTGCTGTATAGATTTTCTAGGAATAAGCATTGCTGCCTATCCCTAACTTTTTGCTTGTAATAATCACATAACTGAGAAGAAAATCTTAGGGAGGAGACCTACTCTTGGGAAAGTCAAGTGTAGAGTTGAAAGTTGTTCTTACCATTTGTACCCCTAGACATACTTGGTGCCATTAAAAAAAAAAAACAACAAAACAAAAGGAACCCAACAAAGTTAAATTGCCTACATATTTTTTACTTCAGCGTATAAACATTGTCTGAATTTAGATCAAAGAACTATACAGCCTAAAAATTGGCAAACTTTTGGGGATCATTTAGATGTGATTTAAATCATTATATACCTCTTCAGAAGTGATGGAGCAAGCTCTCAATTGCTTCATAGTGCTTGCTTCCTAGTTAAAAGAGACTGATTTTAATAAAAGGGAAGATCCTTAAAACTTATTGCACTGACTTCCATCTCTGATAAATTACTAATCTATGTATAACCACAAGGTGCTGCTCTTAATCCACATCCTAAGTAAAAAAGTAATTTTTTCTTTGTAGTTTTCTACAATTGCACAGTAAAAACATAGAGAAGCATGTTCTATAACATGGTTAGTTTGGTTTCTGTAGCAATGCCACCACACACACTGTAGTCTGTTATGGTAAAAAAAATTTATTTCATGCCAGCTTCAGAGGGTTTGAGAGGAACAATCTTTCTGGGGAAACCAGTTCAAAGAAATGTTTAAAAATCTGATGAAAGAAGATGAAACACCTATAGATGATCTATCTAAATAATAATACTATGTAACTGAACACCTAGATGATAATCCTAAATAAAACCAACTCAATCTATCTGCAAATCTAGAATTTCACCTGTGTTTCATTTTGAAGAAGAAGCAAGGCATGGGCTGGCACAATGCCACTGTATGGTCCTCTACAGCATCCCTCCAGTTTCTTCAGGTCTCAAAGAATTCCAGTTAAACTGACCACAGAATGAGTATGATCTTCCAGGGAAGAGGACAGAGGGTCTGTCAATTGTGTGTGCAAACATTACTAGGATTACTGATGGGCATCATGCAAATAACACGCATTGCTGCTTTTTACACTCAGCTATACAAAGCTATATGTGTAATCTTATTAAAATACATCCACAGACATTGACAAATGAGTTCTTAGCAAGAGGAAAGAAAATCCATTTCCCACAGTGCCTGTGAAATCTTCACAGCTGGGAGAAAAAAAGAACCTAAGTGATTTTCCAAGGGATGTTATTCTGCCAGCATGACCAATTTCAATTTATTCCTTTTTTTGCCCATCACCTCTAGATTCCATTAGAACGTCTTGCCATTTCTTTTCCATCTGCTCTTTGCATATCAGGAAAACATCTTTCAAGTGCTGCATGGCGTTGTGTAGGTCTGGGTCGGTCTGGATAGCTACACAGTCATAGGCCATCTGGGCTGCACACACTGCAAATACAAAAGGTATTATTTTCTGGCCAGGAAAAAGCAATGGCTGATTCAATAAATAAATTCAATAAATAAAATTAATTATTATCAGTTCAGATCTCAGAGAAGGCTGGAAAATAAAATGGAAACTGCCTACAGTAATACTCAAGTTAAATAGACTGTTCAGTATTATTTCTTTATAAATGTCTCAAAATAGTTCATAATGGAAGTACACTGATGTAAATTATGAAACGGGGATGGACACTTCACCTAAAAATGACAACAAAACAAGTAATCAAATGGAAAGGGTCAAGGCACTGTTTTAAAATATATTAATATTATATAAGGAATCCTCCCTTCAGACCAGTTACAGCTTGTGTGAGGTGAGGAAGAGTAAGATTAAGACTGCACAGAGATGAAATATTTTAAGGACAGCTTAAGTAATTAAATTGATCTTGAAATAATCAGTAACCTAAGTAATGAAATTGATTTTGAAATAATGAGTATCTGATAACACTGAGCAAATAGTTTTAGCAATTATGTACACTTATGTACTTTCCCTTTTATTTTACCAATAATTCACTATAGTACACTGACCTGAGAGGTGTTACATATCCATTTTCCCGAATTCTCATTTTATATACTATATTTTAATAACTGTATATTAGACATCTTAGTAGTATTTCTACTATTTTATTTTTTAAAATATACTATTTTAACTAACACTCTGAACTAAGCATCCATCACCTATTGATTTTTAATTCTGAGCCATCAGAACTGCCTAAATTATTTGCGCGCTTTTTCACAATTAAGAACACAAGGGCCTTAGTTGATGGTGATTGCTTTAATTGTATTTCTACCACACAGAAATTTACAGAATAAATATAAAAAATAAATCTTCAGTGTCTTTAGTATGAAAATCCATATAATTCTTAATAAAAACCTCTACCGGTTTGTTTTTCCATTTTCTCCATAAGTTCTTCCATGTCTGTTTTGAAGATCTCCACCTTGTTTCCCCTGTTATCATAGTTTCCTTCCTGAGATTCTGATTCAGCCATCTATAAGGAAACGAGGAATTTCCTACTTTATTTTACTCTAAAGTGAGTTGATTTTTGCAGTTGAGACAAAGTAACATTGAAATAAAAAATAAAATAAGAGCATATACATTTTAGATTTACATGTGAATTCAGCAAGAATTTGACCTTAAGGTTACTGGTCATCATCTGTATGCTGCATATTATTTGTGATCCATTTTGAAATTAAGTAGAAAGAATTAGCTCAAATATATTGTGCTTGTGAAAAATAAAGATTTTTGGTATCAGTAATAAAAGACCATTGTGTCAAACCCTTCACTAGCAAACATCATTACCCTGTTACAGTTGTCTTCCAGCTTCTCCCCAAATACTCTGACCCAGAGCAACTCCTTATTTTCAAAGTTAGTTGTAAAACCCCCAGTAATAACCAGTATTTATTTCACAATTGCAGGCTCCAGCCACATTAAGTACAAACACTAAGTTCTGTCACTATAGAGGCAGATAAATGATTGCAACTAACCTCTGTTTAGTTGTAGTGAGTGAAATTCTAGGATGTAAAAAATGCTCGGGGCGAAAATGGAGTTTTAGTACTTCAGCGTTCACCGAAAATGTGACACAAAGTATTGCCTTTAATTTCCTTTAATGAAAACCATCAGTGGATGGACGGACTGTGAAGAGAGAGACGGAGATGCTTCGGCGCACTGACTTTATACATCACACTGCATAGTTTTTATCCAATGCTTTCTCAGGCTCAGTGAGTATCTGTTTTCCGGGTGTTATTGCCGGTATGTGCGGAAGGAATGCGACGGGTGGTTTGTAATGGCTTTACAGCATTTTAAACCGGTGCCAAACCTCAGACGCTGGGTGTTCCAAGTGTCTCTTCATACGAGGTAAAACAGATTAACCGGGAAGCTCCCTTGCCCCGGAGCCCTTGGAGAGCCCAAACTCCGGTGCTGTCCTACACCATGGGCACCCTTCGGCCGCCGCCAGGGCCGCGTTCCCCGGGGACCAGGGGACGCGCCACCGCCGCCCTCACGGAGAGAGCGGGCGGTAACGGGACACCAAACTCCGCCTGCGGCCGTGCCGCCCCTCGCGCCCGCTCATTGCCCAGGCTCGCGACCTCGGTTGATTGTGTGTTTCACGAAAACAAACGCTTGGGAGAGTTCGGCGGCCCAGGGAAGGGCGCGGTTGGCGCTCCGCGGCGCCGGGCTGTTGCTGTGTCCTGGGACAGTGTCCCGGCTCCGTGTCCCGCTTGCCCTTCGCTTTCAGCGCCGCCGCGGCCGGTTTTGTGCAACATCACAGACAGAATCACAGAATCAGTAGGTTTGAAGAGAACTTCAAGATCATCGAGTCCAACCCTAACACATGTCCTAACACCCCAACTAGACCACGGCACCGAGTGCCACATCCAGTCTTTTTTTTAAACACATCCGGGAATGGTGACTCCACCACCCCCTCCGGCAGATAATTCCAGTACTTTATTACTCTTTCTATAAAAAACTTTTTCCTAATATCTAACCTATATTTCCCTTGGCACAGCTGAAGACTGTCCTCTCGTTCTGTCAGTGGTTGCCTGGAGAAAGAGACCCTCAGGAGGTTGTAGAGAGTGATACGGTCACCTCTGAGTCTCCTTTTCTCCAGGCTAAAAAATCCCAGCTCCCTCAGCCATTCCTCACAGGGTTCGTGTTCCCAGCCCCTCACCAGCCTCGTTGCCTCCTCTGGACGTGCTCAAGCGTCTCAACATCCTTCCTGAACTGAGAGGCCAGAACTGGACAAAGCACTCATGGACCAGCCTCACTAGTGCCAGGTACAGGGGAAGAATAACCTCCCTGCTCCTGCTGGCCACGCTACTCCTGATCCAGGCCAGGAGCCATTGGCCTTCTTGGCCACCAGGGCACACTGCTGGCTCATGGTCGGCCGGCTGTCACCAGCATCCCGAGGTCCCTTTCTGCCTGGGCACTGTCCAGCCACACTGCCTCCAGCCGGTAGGGCTGCAGGGAGTTATTGTGGCCAAAATGCAGGACTTGACACTTGGACTTATTAAACGTCATCTTATTGGACTCCGCCCATCCATCCAATCAAGCCGTGTGTGTGGTCTGGGTAGTTTCCACGTGTGCAACAGCTGTCCTAGAGATAAAGGGGATGGTCATGTTAATAAAACTGCCAGTCTGCTGTCTTTCAGTGCGCTTAATCATCAGGAAAAAGCAGAGAAGGAGAGAAGACGTTAAACACGGTCCCGGGCCGGGCCTGCTGGACAGAGCGACGTTCCTTCCCCCTTCCCGGGGCGGTGCCCGTTCCCGGGGGCCGGAGCAGGGGAGGTCACACTCGCCTGGCCCACGGCCCCGCCTGCTGCACGGGGCGCCCTCCTCCGCCAGCCCGTCCCGCACCGCCCCGGGGCGAGCCGCAGGAGTTGAAGGCGTGGCGAGAGCGGCTGCGGGAGACGGCCTCTGGTGGTTTTAGGAACTTTCAGGAAAGTAACGCAGGAGGTACATCTTAACCCTTAAGTTTGAAAGCTGGGTGGTGCTTCTGCTGCTTTTCTCAGGGAGTCTCTCCCTGCCGGCGGGATAGAGGGAGACGTCAGACCAGGGCCGGCAATGACAGCATAACTAGCAGCAGGTTCACAGCTAAATAGCGTAGGTTTATATCGGATATAAGGAAAAATTCCAATGAGGGTGGTGAGAAGTTGGAACAGGTTGCCTTCAGAAAGTTGTGGATGCCCATCCCTATAAATGTTCGGGGTCAGGCTGTATGGACTAGTCGAAACGGCAGGGGGGTTAGAACTGCATGGTCTTTGAAGGTCCTTTTCCAAACTGTTCTGTGATCCCATGATGTTTGCATCATTAAAAAAATACAAAAAATTGAAGGAGGTGTTTGCAGGACTAGGCAAAATCAAGTTAGAATTCTTCTGGAGAAAGATCAGCAAGACTCAAAATTTGGCAAGAGTTAATAGATAGGAATTACTGGTTTATAGCAGAGTGAGAATCAAGACCCATTTCTGAATTGTCCATGCTCCAAGTCATGTCTCATTCCAGATAATATCCAAACCTGGAATGGTTTGGGCTGTTTCTTGTTATTCTTTTTCATCCACACAAGCACAAACTTAGTCCTGTTTTAAAATTACTTGGTATGTTAGTATTCTCACTGTGCAGCAGACTTGCCCGTCTCTTGCAATCAACCACTCATATCACTGCCAACTGAGTAGCTGGTTTGAAGATGAGAATCCACCTTCCAAATAAATATTTATTCACCTAAGTTGCATGAATGCAACTTTATCACGAAGTATTGTGTTGCTAAAGTTTTGCAGGTGTTCAAAAGCAGTTGAGTAGAAATCCCTGAATAGAAGTGCTAGCAAATTACTGGACCTTCAGCTGGCTGGTGAAGATTGATGCTTAATCATTAGGTCATTTCAGTTTTCTACTTTATTTCTTTTCATATGGTGCTACCTTTGGAAATTTTAAATAACAAATACTGCAGGGCTGAACTGAAAATCACAATAGAATTGCCATTAAAAAAAATAGACTTTTAATTTTTCTTGATTAAGAAAACCTGCTACTTTGAGAGGCAAAGCTCATGAGGCAAAGCAGACGCTTAGGATAATGATGGGAGGTTTTTCACTTTTAGATCATTCCTGTACTGTGCCATGTTGTACTTATCTGCAGAAACTACGTCAAGGGTGTTTGTTCTAGAAAAGTGCTGCCCTTCCTCTGCATGGCCCCTCCCCAGCCACATCTTGTTCTTTCCCACAGTGTGCTATTACCTACAATTCTTGGTTGGCTCTGCAGCCACCTGACTGTTGTTGTTTGAGACTTACACATTAGCCCATTTTTGTCTGAGTCTCTACACCTCTGTGGGCTTAAGTTGACCAAAAGATCAGTCACAGTCTATCAGCTATAAGCCACAGTTTTAAGTCTTAGAATGTGAAATTAGGTCAAGAACCCATCTTGAGGCTATGGTGCAGCTGTGTGTGGTTAGGATGGTTTCTAGGTGTGCTACAGCTGTCTTGGAGATAAAGAGGATGGTCATGTTAGTAAAACTGCCAGTCTGCTGCCTTTCGGTGTGCTCAACCATAAGGCAAAAGCAGAAAAGTATATAGGATGTTAAACAGGCAATATTTTCTTTCTGGATGCACATACAATACAAGACATAGCAGGAAAAGTCTGTTTCTCACAGGACAACAAATCACTTCTGTCACATCAGTAAACAGTGAAAAGGCTTGTTGATGAATGAGGAGGATTATATAGGCTGAAGCTTGAACTCTGAACCATTAAAATATCTTATCCAACCAGTCAGACTGGGAGCACAACAGAGACACTGGTGGGGGAAATTAAAAGCTGCAGCCATTTCTGCTTTTGCATATGCTTACCCTGAATATTTAACTCTTTGCCTTTCACACTCTACTGCACAGCATGGAGGTGTAGAAACTGGAAGAAGGAGGAAGATTTTCAGTTGTCATATTTTTAAACAGGAATCTGAATAGGTTTTCCTCCAGGTGCTGTTGAGGAAGGTGCCTATGGAATGTAACTAATTTCAGTAAGTAACTCATTTATATGAGGAACTGTTATTTGCATTTTACCTACTATTTAATGGAGAATTAAGTATAAGACAGATTGCCTGCTCCTTTGTGGAGAAAACACTGCAGAGAGTCAATGCAAGTTAGTACAGAATGAGAGGAAAGCTGAAACCAGAGTGTAAGCCTACGTTCTGCAGCTGTAATGATCTTTATAATTCAAGAAAATTTTGAGTCTAGAAGATGTCTTTCCTGGTTTCTCAGGGGATAAAAAACCATATCGCAGGACTATTTTGCTACTACTATTTTGCCCACTCCTGCCAATGTCTGTAGAGAGATCAAGCAATGAAGAATTCACTCCTGGTTTTCATCATTTTGTACACATGGGTAAATGCCAGCTGGAAGAATAATGCTAAGGATAAGTCTCTCTTAAATTAACTATTGTCCTTTGATGCCTAAAAGTATTGATTGTGAAAATTAAAATTTTCCCCACAACGACATAATTATATGCAGTGACAAAATGTTAACAGGAGTAGGTGAATTTGGCTAAAAGAGTTGGCACAGATCACATTCTCTGCTCCATCTTCCCCAAGCCACCTGCATTGAGTTGCTGACTGTGAAATGAAGTTTGTCTCTCAAGGACAAGTAGGTTGCATGCTGTTTACTCTTGAAATGCAACTGTCTCTCACTCCTGTGAAATAGGTTAGAAAATAATCTTGTGTACACTGATATAACCAGGACTCTGGAATTTGAAATGCTTAACACAAGATTTATCAGAGATAGGGGAGGGCAGGCCAACAGCTGGCACTTGTGATTGGTTGAGAAGAAAGTCCTCAGAACTAAAATGCTGAGGTGTGATGACGATTACAACCCGTGGCTGCTGAGGACACCAGCAGAGCACAGTGGAGACCCCAAGGGCATCATGGCAGGAAGAGGTCACAGGGAAGTTCAGGAATATTGTCTGCTGTGGTTGGGGAGTTCAGAGTAGTGTGAGAAAAGGGCAGGGAAAAGCCAAACTTATCAAAGTTCTGGCAGAATGTATGGAGAGCCTGATCAGGAGGGACACCGAGGGGCAAGGCAGAATGTGAAAAACCCTGTTTCTGCAGTCTGCTGAAGCATGTTTTGATATTATTGTTTTATCTTGTTCTTCACTTGGAGACTGTGTTCCCGATGGAGTGCTTTTTCAGCCTCTGGAGGTTTTGTACAGATTTTCTGTTCCAAAGAGCCCATTCTTTCTAAATGTGTACCTGTAACCAGAAGCATATGAGTTCTGTTTACTACATAACCTGTCCCTCTTGATCTGTATTGGTCTGCCTTTCAAACCCCACTGCAGGTGCCTGCTCGAGGGCTCT